GCCGAAGAAAGACTCGACGAAGTGAGAAACGAAGAGCTGGTCAAAGGCATTGGCACAAGACGGCTGCCGCCCTGGTAATCGCGGTAAGGGAACGAGAGCGCGAGTTGGAATACCTGGTACATGGCGAGATGAAGAACCTGAAACGGAATGCACAAAGAATGCCTCAGTTCGCGCGCCTGGGCACTGCAAGCCCATGTTGACGCATCGGAGGCACGCTGGAACAGACTCGTCGCACTGCGTAGGGCGTGGATTGTCAACGGTTGGAAATGACACTTGGCCAGGGTGTATCGCACCTTTATCTTACGCCTTCGACATGTTGCGCAACCTCTGCTTCTGCCAGGGATGTTAACCATCGCTGGAGGGATGTTGATTCGAAAGCAGTAGTCTGGATAAGTTAGTTCTTTGTGGGACAAACCAGGATCTCTCTTTTCGAACGAGTTTGTGCGGGTATTTGGGTACCTACTTCTTCACAGTAGCTACCTTTTTAGGTCCCTTTCAACCTTAGGCAGAACCAGATACGGAAATTAGCTCCCTACCTACCCAGTGTATTTTCGGTGGAAGACGGGGCCCGTGCATAACATACCAAGATAGGTACCTACGTTTATATTCCTAGGTACCTGCAGAAGGTGCAGAGTTAGTTTTTCAGGGGACGATTAGCTCAATTGAGGAGAACTTGAGACCTGGGCTGTACCTTTTACAGCGTTGTAGACGATTCGCCAGAGGCGGAAGGAAATTCAAATGATAGAAGCTATTTCAATGGGCATTCTATAGCTATGCATCACTCTAATGTCCATTATGATCGTATTTCTAAAAAGAAAAGAAACGAAAAGAAAACCTGACAAGTGAAGCAGATACGGAGTAGACCATATCAAAGCGCAATAAGAGCAAGATTGCGGCTATCACTCGTATCGTTGACGGTTTCATACTGCTCCATCCCACCTGTGCAACTACACTGTGATGAAGCAATTTCAGACTCCTTACCAGCAATTTGCGTTGATCTGTATGCAAAGTTATCAAGGAATCTGGCAATTGAGATTTGACTGGGGATACCTACACAGGCTCCGTCGCCTCTGCCATCACAGAACATAGTGCAATCCCCAGTAGACCCGTTTCCTTCATTACATAAAACATCAACTCTACCGTTATTTTCGTCGACATATGTACACCACTCTTGGTTATGTTCATAATCAGGATAAGATTTTCCGGAGTAGTATGCAGGCTTGACTCGTATGGGCACGGCGCAAACTGCCTCATTCTGGACAAGTTTTCGAAGTTAGCTACCTAAGCAAACGGGTGCATTGATCATGGGATACATATAGGTAAGGGAATTGTGCCCAGAGATTACTCACACAAGTGCCAGTGTCATCATCACACCATATTTCGCAAAGTGATCCTGGCCCCTCTTGTCCCGGCTGAGGAGCCACCATTGTGGTACAATCAGTGGCCGGAAGCCAGTCTCCATTTTCCTTCTGGGCGGAACAGAAACCACCTGACGCCCATCCGGTGTATGGGGTTATGCGTTTACTGAGCAGCCTATTCCTTGGGACTGCCACATCACTTGGCAAAGCCAAGCTCATACTGAACAATGTCGGAACGAAAAGAGAGAGCTTCATCTTGAACACTTTGCGACTGCCAAGGTTAGCACTATGGTTGATAAAGCAAAATGCAAGAAGTATGTCCATGCTCACGAGTTATAAGGATAAGCGTGGGCTAGGGTTGAGTGGGCTATATGTTCGAGTGTCCAAGAGCTCGATAAGCAAAGAAACATCATTTATATATTAAAATCCTAACCTGGGGCACATATTCTGATCTACCCCCGAGGTGAAAGGCTCGACACATCGTACTATGTCATGACCAACCGGTAATGGGTCACAAACGAGACCCGCGGGTCTTATATTTTATCAAGATCTTCATCATCAATATGGCCTCGTTAGTTACATGGCGCTATGGCCGGCTAATAAAAGCTGTGTCGTGCCCGTAATTCTTATTCGCAGATCGTATCAAGTCCTCCTCTTTCGGCACAGCCAATCAATCGTTTCTATATTAGTCGAAGTACTCGGAAAGTGACTCGATCATGAATCGACCAGTATCATGGAAGATACAGGTATCGCTTTCGGGGCGCAGTAGCATAAACCAATAGATGAGAACTACTAATCATACAAGCTGCCGCTGTTCTAATCGCTTAATGAACTCAGAAGGAATCGACCAGTCATTGTAAAACCTGTTGGATATATCACAATTAGATTAAGCAAAATGAAGGGCAAATCCCTCCGAAAGAGGAAGTGAAAAGCGTTGAAGTATGCCCTGTATGGTTCCCAACCAAGTTGAAAGAATATCACTTATTAGAAGTTGCCTATGTGGAACAGTGTTATGGTAGACCTAACATTTCGATTCTCGTTGATATTGTAGTATAAGCTTGACTCTTGTTTATACTAACCTTGATTGAATTGAATCATTCCAAATAGGCGGCATGCATCAGCTCACTTTGTCGCCTACTCATACACACACATTGAGAGAAGAAAGGTGTCGGAGGAGGCGTGGCTATGCGGCACAGCGCCAACGGGTCCCTGCTTTGTGCCTCAAAGGGCATTTGCTCTGTCGGTATTTCGCATCCACCATCCTTGATATGCCGTGCGCTATCGGGCATGTGTAATAGAGTTTTAAAGATGAGGAACTGTTGTTATTACTGTATTTTGGTTCCCGAAAACCCCAAATCCCACATGTAAGTAAATACTAGTGGAGGAACTTGTTGGTGGGTAGCCGAGACACGGGAAAGGCTGCGGGACATGCATATCTGCGGCACCCAGCACTCTGCTGGACATTTTCAGCTGACGCAGTGTTTACGCAACTCCTACAGTGCAATCCAATAATTCATTACCAAAGATGTCATGTTAATACGTGTCACGAAAATAAGGCTTTCAGAGCAATGGAATTTCACCTCGAGATATTTCGTCTTGGCATTTGTAGGGTTGGCCTCGACCTCAATCATCATCATCTTCCGGCACGATTTGCGGATATGGCCGAGACACCAGTGACGGCACGATAAGTCTTATGACTAGGTCTGGAGCAGCGACCAATCAACTTGTAGCGAACAGAGGCGTAGTTATCTTGTACATTCGGGGCTGGCTGGAAAATTGGCAATGGGGGGGCCATCGGATGCATCAGAAAGCGTAGAATTCTGAATCTGGCTAAGTGGACTGTCAACCTTGTCAGCTGAAAAGTCGGATTTCTGTCGTGCTCATCAGTTATTATTCCCCAACTCCCGATGGCCCCTCGTACATGGAAGTGGCCTTTGGAATACTCCTCGGTCTTTATTCAGGCCTGGCATAATTCCTTCCATCTAATTACTTGACGACTTGGTAAATCCTATCCTCATATTGCGGTTTTTTCCCATCGCGATTTGTGATCGCCCTATTTGCTTTCTCTCACCTTCAACTAATAATACGCCTTATCGCCAAGGATGGATGTCCCACAGTCGCTGCAGGTCCTATTGACCAGTCTCAAAACATTCATCGACTCCGTTCAAAATGGTCTCGTCTCCGTACTCAATCCCGCTTTCAATTTACCAGACATATTCGGTGCTAAATCCGCACTGGGAGTTTTGGCTATTCTAGGAACCTGCTATGGAATGAACAAGTTCCTGAATGGCCGCGTCCTCGGAGTCAGGTCATTCAAATCCTGGGATTCGGCGAAAGAGTTGGTCCTGATTACCGGAGGTAGCAGCGGAATGGGGGCTCACATGGTGCAAAAGTTCTCCCAGAAAGATGTTAGAGTCATCTCACTCGACATTAACCCTCCAAAGGAGGCTCTCCCCCCAAATACTATGTTCTTCAAGGTCGATGTTACTTCCCCAGAAGCCATTCATGAAGCAGCTGAGAAGATTCGTCAAGAGGTCGGCTACCCAACTGTGCTCATCAATAATGCTGGCATCGTATCTGGCAAGACGATCCTTGACATTTCACATCAACAGTTGAAGAGAATGTTTGACGTTAATATTATAGCGCATTATTCGATCGTCAAAGAATTTCTTCCAGCGATGATCAAGCAGAACCACGGGCATATCGTTACGATGGCCAGCGTTGCAAGCTTTCTCACCATCTCAAACAATGTCGACTACAGTTGCGTGAAGACTGGTTTAATTGCTTTTCACGAAGGCCTTACACAGGAGCTCAGGCATCGATATGATGCAAGAAACGTGTTGACAAGGTAATTGCATGATGAGTTTGATGTAAATTGCTGTCGTTGTTTGTCGTGCCACTGACATCATCCTTCCACAGCATTGTCTTTCCCTTCTGGGTCCGCACGCCTCTGGTCAAGAATCTTGTGGCACACCCAAGTTTCAAGGACGACGTGCTCGAGCCCGAAGCAGTGGCGGACGTAGTTGTGAACCATGTCATCGCGGGTGGCAGGGGGACTATTTTCGTACCGGGGTACGGCGCGGCTTTAGCTGGGATGAGGGGCTTCCCAGCATGGCTTCAAGAGTTACTTCGCGACTGGAAGGCTAGCATCTTGCGTGAGACAGGATTTTGATGTAAGAGTTGGTGAAGTGTGATCAAGCCTAAGAGGGTTACTGTTGAAAATATGGATAACGAGATATGGAGGCAATGTTCTTGTGTGGACTACAAGAAGCCTACCCCCTCCCCCTGACTTTGGTTTTCTTTACTTGAGATCCGATATTAATTGACACGCGCGATGCTGCTAGAAAGAAAATGTGGACAATCGCTGTGTTAGAAGAGAAACAATGGTCTAATTGAGTCTCAGAAGCCAAAGCATTCGCAAAACGAAAGTCAGAACGCGGATGACTAAGTGATGCGACTTGACTTTGCACAATCCTATGCATCTAGAACTCACACCAACAATATCTAAGTAATAAAATACAGCTACCGTCAAAAGGTGAACAAAAAATGACAGTGTAATACATACAATCATTATGCCAGCCTCGCCCTAAAAAAAATAAGCAATCGAGAAAAAATAAACTGGAAGGCAGCTTGAAACAATCTTGCTCCCGGCAGGGCTTGAATCTGCGACCTTCGCATTACCAATGCTTGCCCGATGGGAAGTATTAGTACGAAGCTCTAACCAACTGAGCTACGGAAGCCATCCAGCTTTGGTAGATGTTTGGAGGGGCCGCAAATTTGTTCTATCTGGTAGCGCCAAAAAGTTGGTGTGCGCTTTTGTATAGGGTAAACTGTAAGCTCAGGAAGCAACTCTTCCAACTCGCTTTGCTGAGGCTATCGTTCTTGTTTTTTTCTAAACTAAATAATTTCTTGATCTTAATTACTCATACTGTCGTGTCCTAGGATAGGCAAATGTTACCAACAAATTGGTAGGTGGTAACACGATTCTGCTACGCGACCATTATAAATTGCATACTACCTAGCTTATCTGGCCGCTTGATGACCTAGAAACTGTAATCAGACGCTGATGATTGTTTTTTTTTGTAGAAGAAATAGATTAGTCATAATAAATACCTATCGACTGGGTAGGCAGTGTCATTGAGAAACTATTAAACAAATTCGTCAAGCTTGGGTATCATAATCATAAGCATGTGCCCCGTTCATCAACAAATTATCATCCCTTCTTGCTGTCGCCATTCTCGGCCGCAGCTCTTTTCGCATCCTCCTTCTGGACTTGTGTAAAACTCGGAGGAGCCACCTCATCTTCCGGTGGCTTAATCCAAGACACCTCATGTTGCGAATGGCTACTCAGCTGCACAGTCAGGGGTATGCCTACCACCTTGTCGTCGCTCGGCTTGACCAAGGTGACTTGGTGATATCCGGACGCTTTGAAAACCGAACCCGCAATGTCCGCTGAAAGGACCCATTTCAGTTGGTGAGTATGTTGGATGTTATAGGTTGTGAAGCTTGGCTGAAGTATCTTTTGCCGGTTCGTCGCGCCTACGCGCCCGTGGGAATCAATTCTTAGATTGATCAGTGCACCAATGTCAATCGGTGTCATATCATCTGTGATGGGAATAACTATGGGCTCCGTGAGTGCCTGGATTGCACTATTGATTTGAAGATCCAGTTTCTGATCAGTGTGTGCATCGTGTGGGCCGAACACCCCTTCGCACCTGACCGAAGTTGTCGTGGTGATGAAGAGGGACAGGGATTTCAGTGTAGCCGTATACGGAATACCATGGATTATGTCGGTAGTTTTACTCCAGTTTGGGGCGGCTCGGATCACAATGGGCACATGGTTCGGATTGTCAAGCTGGATGACAGTTGGTGTCTCTAGTCGATAGTTGAAATTGAGTGTAGGGACCTTGGAGGAGTTGAACAGTTGCCTTGTCTTTTGGGAGAAAGTAAGCTCCGTCTGCTCCGCCCCTGGGACGAGGCGGTACGATATAATCGAGTAGGATTGTTCCATTCGTCGCAAGCGAAAGTCGATGATTGGCGGTTCAGAGCTCACTGCTCGCAAGGTGAGAGGCAGACTCGCCTCAATGGTATCTATTGAGCCCTGTTTCGTCACCCTCAGCTGCGCGTGGAGGACGTACTCAACAAAACCCTCCATAATTGTGGTAAATCCGTGGTTGTAGACGGCAAAGCTGTCCGGTAGCTCATGTCTGGCAGTTCTCTGGGGGGTCAGGGGAAGGTAGCTGTAAGTGGCGGAAGAAACGCTGTCCGCTAGATGCATGTTATCGACATGAGTCGGAATCTGCAAGGAAAATGGCCAAGCCTGTCCTTCGCTTCCCGCGGGGATATGAATCGGTCCATCGAAGACCTTGATTGTGTTGCGGGGTCCGCTCAGAACGTTGAAGCGGCCGCGATAGGTACTGGTGCTATTCCCCCGACTGACAACCATTTTCGACTTCGTTCTTCCATGGAGTGAGACTGTTACCGAAGCTCCAGGGCTGACAAGGTGTTGTTTACGATAGACATATCCAACAAGGACGTCGCCCGGTGCATACTGCGCCTTGATACCCTCCAGCTGAATGCCGAGAGTGTTGCTTAAAGATGCGCCGGTTTGAGGCATGGTGAAACGATGAGAAGGTACGCGCACAGCTCTGCACAGCGTAAGGCTCCAATTTCAATCTTGATGGTATTTTGCGTGTAGCAATGGTAATGGCAATGGTAATGGCCAGCCACACAATGGATCGAAGGAGGCGAAGGAGGAGAAGCTCGGAAGTCGGCTTGGTAGTTTCAAATGGGCAATAAGGCGGAGGTTGCTTAGGGGCTGTGCCGCCAACGATCCCGGTCGTGGGATAACACACGGTTTACGTCACCCTTCTCCTAGGTTTCGAATGCCTCGATGGTCAGGATGGCAATTCAGTTCCAAAAGTGCGTATCATTTTCGCGAAATAATTAGGACGTCACAGCCTGATGTTTGGTGTTGGGAGAGCACGGCAGCTGGGGTTCGAAACTCCAACAACTCGCTGGGCTGTGGCCTCGTGAGTACTAATGATGGCGCCAAAAACGAGGCTGTTCGGGGAGAATGGAGGAGCCAGCCTGGGTATTTGGCAGTGCGGGACATCTGCTATTCAGAAGACTCAAGATGTCAGTTTTGAGGGCCGCACACGTGATTATGTGAGTGAGGGGTAGAGCAAAAAAACCAACGAGAAGATGTGACTGGGGTTGATCAACAGGGCTTTCATGGATGGATGGCAGTCGGCTGATGATCTATCCGGTCGGCCTATCTCCCTTGTTGGATGGGAAAAGGTACAGAGTACAAGGGGGCGACGATGGTTGCTTCCAGCTTTCTTTGGTTTAGTGCGGGGGAGCTGTCCGGCTGCCTGTTATGTATTGGCACGTTTGTGATTGCTGATGATGGAGGCAGGCTTCTTGTGGTGCTTTCCCGCAATTTTGGCCCAAGCCATCTTCAGATATGTGAGAAAGTAGGTGCTGCTTTTCATGCCTTCGCGGCCAGGCCTGGATGGCTGAGGTACCCACGGAACTCACACATAGCAGCAACCAGTAGTGGCAGCAGGCGTCTCCTCCAATCACTTGGCAGGATTAGTGGAAGTGTACAGTAGAGCGGATACACGATGAGAAATAGGACAGAGCTGAGTGTTTTTATTTTCAAGGAACCGAGAATGACCTCCTTCAAGCAATCCAGTCTTTATTTACCATAGAGCGTGAGTATACGAATACAGTCCATCTCCATGTATGACCATGTATGATGACGTCTTTCCCTGAGCTATGACCAGCGAAGTGAAGGTCGCGCTACAAGATGGTAAAAAAACAAAATACGAAAAGTAATAGGCATTTGAGGATCCATATACGACGACTCATTCACCCTTCCTTTACAGATACGTACAACCAGTATATATATGTAGTGCTAGCTGAGCTGGCCGGCTACTTGCTAATCGAAGCAGATAACAAAAAAAAGAATGAACATCTCCGGTACAGGGAATCGAACCCTGGGCTCCGCGGTACAAATCTCTCAGTAATGAGAGCGCGAAATGTTAGCCACTACACCATACCGGATTGTGATTGGCTATTTGATGGATGCAGGAGATTCTCATTTGGATTATCGAGGAATGACACAAACATAGTAAGATAGCGCGCTGCATATTATGAAATGAGTCGTAAACTTAGCAGCATAGAGGTTATGAGCACCATTCATCGAATGAAACAAATGGTACAACAAATGTTGAAAACCACACAGCGTACTAGATTGTATGTAGTATGCCTCTCCCTTGGTCAGTCAAGAAAATAAAGCGAGAAACACGACGCGAGGTTGATGCATGTGCTATCAATTGTATTCTTTATCCCCTTGGTTAATTTACTTATATATTGAGCAATAAGACCATCACTACAGTTCCCCTAGGCAGTCTGACCTTCATCCACTTGAGGGAGAAGTCAGATTAAGCCTTGTTTGGACCGGGTTCTAACTAAACAGAAAAACTCAACATGCAAATATCTAACAATTCTAAGTGTCTATTATCAACATCTTCAACTAGTTCCCCGCCGCAATGCTGTGTCTCGTTCCCAGCGACCCGTTGGTCATCAACGACCGCACACCACGCGGCTCAATGAGCTTTCCTTCAGATGGCCCAGCAGCTCCGTAGCCACCACCTCCAGGTGTGAGGATGATGACGCGGTCGCCAGCGCCAAAGTGAGATGTCTTTCTGGGTCCCAGAGAAACTTGCCTCGTCGCACCAGTCACAGGATCCTTGCGCACCCAGACGTTCTGGCCTCGCTGGCCATCCTCTCCACCTTCCAAGCCATACGGCGCTGTGACTCTTCGGTCTGTCAGAACAGAAACCTGCAGTGGCACGCGAAACTCCATATCGCGGATGCATCCGTCGCCACCTCTGTATAGACCAGGGCCGCCACTGCCCTTTCGGATGGAAAACTCATGCAAGATAACGGGATATCGCTTCTCCAGAATCTCTGGATCCGTGATGCGAGTGTTTGTCATGTGGGTGTGCACGGCGCTCGCTCCGTGCCAGCCAGGGCCTGCTCCAGCACCACCGCAGATGGTCTCGTAATAGCCGAAGCCCTTGGTGACTTCACCAGTGACAGGGTCGGTACCACCGCATCCGAAGCTCAGGTTGTTCATGGTGCCTTGAGAGGCTGCAGCAGCTGAAAATGCGCGGAGGATGAGGTCAGCCACCTTCTGAGACGTCTCTGTCGTGCAGCCCACCGTTGCAGCGGTTGGTGAAGGCGACAGGATGGTGTTCTCGGGGCAAATGACCTTGATGGGTCGCAAGCAGCCCTGGTTCAGAGGAATATCGGCTGAGATCATAGAGCGGAGGCAGTACTAATTTGGATGAGTTAGTGTAAAGTAACAAAATATTACAGAATATGAAGAGGCGACTTACCATGATGACAGAGTATGTGCAAGTTGGGGGAGCGTTGAGATTACCGGAATGTTCCAAGCCAGTGCCAGTAAAGTCAAAGACAGCCTCACCAGATTCCTTGTCAATAGTCACCTTGAGCTTGAAAGGGATGCCATCGTCATTGTACTCCGTCGCCTCAAGTACATTGGAACTGGTGGCAAACGATTTCAACAGCTCGCGGACAGACTGAGCGGCATTGTCTTGGATAGCATGCATATAAAGTTGAACCACGGGCCAAGAAAACTCTTCAATGAGCGCCCGGATCAGCTCAATACCCTTCTTGTTGGAGGCAACAGCCGCCTTGAGATCGGCAA